ATATTATATAGTTTCTGTCTAACTGAGCCTGAAACAAACTGAACACCTGTTGCTGCAGGTTTGTGGTGTGTTCAGGTGTGAAGCTGTTCCTGACCTTCTGCTCCGCGCTGTCGGTCAGAGCGGCAGCTTGTCTGCTCAGCTGTGAGGCCATGATGAGGCAGTGCTGACACAGCCTCTGCTGCTCCTCTTCCTCCTCCACCTCCTCCTCCCTCCTGCCATAGCAGCTCAGTTCACCAGCCGACAGCGAGCCTTCAGGGTTGGGCCGACAGCCCTTCTGAGCCTCCTCGTCCTCCTCTCCCACTGAACGGAGGCGCTTCCTGCGACATGTGGAGCCCAGAGGAAGAGGAGTGTCCCCCTCCACCACCTGCAGCCACACAAAGGTTCAGTTCTCTGCTTTACATTTAGACTCACCAGGTTCGGTTTACCAGACTGGACCTCAAAATCCCACACATTAGTCCTCTAAAGACCTCCCAACAGACCCACAGAAGGTTTTATAGTAAAGTTTTTATCTCTACACTGTGTGCATAATTATTAGGCAAGTTGTAGTTTTGACCATATCATCATTTTTATGCATATTTTCCAACTCCAAGCTGTTTAAACTTGAATGCTTATTGGATAAAAGCATTAAGCTGATATGTATTTGTATAATGAGGGAGGGTGACGTGACTCTACAATATCACGTGGACATCAGGGGCAGTTCCCCTGGATTGGCAGACTGGGGTGGTGGTCATCCTATTTAAAAAGGAGGACCATAGTGTGTGTTCCAACTATAGGGGGATCACACTTCTGAGCCTCCCTGGTAAGGTCTATTCAGGGGTCCTGGAGAGGAGGGTCCATCGGATAGTCGAACCTCGGATTCAGGAAAAGCAGTGTGGTTTAGTCCTGGTCATGGAACACTGGACCAGCTCTACACCCTCAGCAGGATCCTGGAGGGTGCATGGGAGCTCGCCCAACCAGTCTACATGTGTTTTGTGGACTTGAAGAAGGCGTTCGACCGTGTCTCTCAGGGACTCCTGTGGGGGGTACTCCGGGAGTATGGGGTACCAGGCCTGTTGATACGGGCTGTTAGGTCCCTGTACGACCGGTGCCAGAGCTTGGTCCACATTGTTGGTAGTAAGTCAGACTTGTTTCCGGTGAGAGTTGGACTCCGCCAAGGTTGTCCTTTGACACCGATTCTGTTCATAACTTTAATGGACAGAATTTCTAGGTGCAGTCAAGGTGTTGAGGGGATCCTTTTTGGTGACCTTAGGATCACATCTCTGCTTTTTGTGGATGATGTGCTCCTACTGGCTTCATAAGATCGTGATCTCCAGCTCTAACTGCAGTGGTTCACAGCAGAGTGTGAAGCGGCCAGGATGAGGATCCGTGCCTCCAAATCTGAGACCACGGTCTTGAGCCAGAAACCGGTAGCGTGCTGCCTCCAGGTCGGGGAGGAGGTCCTGCCCCAAGTGGAGGAGTTTAAGTGTCTCAAGGTCTGGTTCACGAATGAGGGAAGAATGGAACGGGAGATCAACAGGCGGATTGGTGCTGCCTCTGCAGTGATGTGGGCACTGTACCGGTCTGTCGTGGTGAAGCGGACGCTGAGCCAGAAGGCAAAGCACTCGGTTTACCGGTCCGTCTACCTTCCTACCCTCATCTATAGTCACGAAATTTGGGTAGTGACAAAAAGAACGAGATCGCGGATACAAGCGGCTGAAATTAGTTTCTTTTGCAGGGTGTCTGGGCTCTCCCTTAGAGATAGGCTGAGAAGCTTGGTCATCCGGGAGGGACTCAGAGTAGAGCCGCTGCTCCTCCACGTCAAGAGGTGCCAGTTGAGGTGGTTCATCTGGTTAGGATGCCTCCTGGACGCCTCCCTGGTGAGGTGTTCCGGGCACGTCCCACTGGGAGGAGGCCCAGAGGAAGACCCAGGACACGCTGGAGGGACTATGTTTCTCAGCTGGCTTGGGAACACCTTGGGATTCCCCTGGATGAGCTGGCCCAAGTGGCTGGAGAGAGGGAAGTCTGGCTCTCTCTGCTTAGGTTGCTGCCCCCGTGACCTGTTCCCGGATAAGAGGAAGAAAATGGATGGACGGATGGGAGGGTGGGGCCTAAAGAGATCAACACCCTTTATCAAGTTGTGCATAATTATTTGGCAGCTTCTTTTCCTCAGGCAAAATGAGCCAAAAAAGGAGGTTGAAGTGACTCTGAGAAGTCCAAAGTTGGAAAAAGTCTTTCAGAGGGATTCAGCACTCTTGAAATCGCTGATATATTGAGGCGTGATCACAGAAGCATCAAATGTGTTGCTGCAAATATTCAACAGGGTCGCAAGAAACTTGTTGAGAAAAAAAGATACAAATTAACTGCCAAAGATTTGAGAAGAATCAAACGTGAAGCTACCAGGAAGCCGTTATCCTCCAGTGCTGTCATATTCCAGAACTGCAGCATACCTGGAGTGCCCAGAAGTACATAGCCTTCAGAGACATGGCCGAGGTAAGGAAGCCTGAAACCCCACCACCACTGAACAAGACACATAAGATGAAGCATCAAGACTGGGCCGAGAAATATCTGAAGACAAGTTTTTCCAAAGGTTTTATGGACTGATGAGATGAGAGTGACTCTTGACGGACCAGATGGATGGACCCATGGATCAGTAATGGGCACAGAGCTCCAGCAAGGTGGAGGCGGGGTACTGAAATGGGCTGGGATTAATAAAGATGACCTTTTCAGGTTGAAGATGGACTCAAATTTAACTCCCAAACCTACTGCCAGGTTTTAGAAGACATTTTCTTCAAGCAGTGAAACAGGGAAAATCTGCATCTTTCAAGAAGACCATGATTTTTCTGCAGGGCAATGCTCCATCACATGGAAGTACTCCACTGTGTTGCTGTAAAGGTCTTAAAAATTAAAGAATAATGACGTGGCACCCTTCCTCACCTGACCTAAACCCAGAGGTTTATAGTAACTAAGTACAATTACTTCGTTACAGTACTTAAGTAGTTTTTTTTATTTGTAATTTTACCAATTATTTTTTAAATAGCTGCTTTTACTTTTATTTCATTACAATTTAAAGCTAAAAATGATACTTTTACTTCTTTACTTTAAAATGTAACACCTACTTGTAACAAAATTAAATCTGTCTGAACTCATTATGAAAGAAGATGTTTCTGCTCTAAAAAATGAAGTGTTGAATTTACTCAACAGTCATGCCAACTGGCTCCACTAAGTCGAGTAAACTGAGCAAAGAATATACAAATATTGTTCAATTTACTCAGTAAATTCAACAGTTTATTTCATAGAGAGTGTGTAAAAGTACTTTTACTTTCCCAATTTTTGTGAACAGTTTTAAGACTTTTACTCGAGTAGTTTTTTTTCATCAGTGAAATTTATTTGTACCAGTCATTTTCTGTTCATGTAATTTTACTATTACTTCGTTATTTTTTAAAGTACGTTGTAGACCTCTGCCTAAACCCTGTTGAGAACTTGCGGGCCCGTCTTAAAGGGGAGATTTACGGTGAAGGAAAACTGTCCACCTCTCTGAACAGGGGAGGCTGCGGTTGATCGTCAACAGATCAAGAACCTGACGGATTAGAGCTGTTATTGAAAAGAAGGGGGGCTGTATTGGCCAGTGATGTTTTTTTATGTCAGAAATGTTTTTTTTTTTTTTGTAAATTTTGAGTTGTTTATTATTCTCACTTTAATGGATGACAATAAACAAGTGAGATGGGAACATTTTCATTTTTAATTTAGTTGCATAATAATTCTGCACACAGATATTGTCCTAAAAAAGACAAAAATCTTACTTTTACTTTCTTAAATATTCAGATTTGAGGTTTGTTAACATTTTTGGATTGACCGAGAGCTCTGTAGTTGTTCAACAATAAAATAAATCCTCAAAAATACAACTGGCAGCATTACAAATTAAACTAAAATAACTTTGTGAATGTTCAGAATCTTCTACATTAAACACACTTATATAAGTTTGGAAGCTTTTCAAAATAAAATGTGTTTAATTATTTTAAACTATAGGATATTTAAACCCTTGCAGGTAGCAGAGCTGAGTTTCCTCTTGTTGAGTTTCTAAAACGACTGTTAGAATTTGTAAATGGAGTCGTTTCTGTTTTTAATGAACAAAATAAAAAGTTAGAGCCTCACCGTGTACCTCCGGTGGTCCGGCCTGCGTCCCCGGGCCGTGTCCCAGTACTGAGAGTACATTTCTGAGAACCTGAGCTGTCTGCTCAGAGTCTGCCGGCTTCTGACGATGGGCGGGAGGGAAAAGAGGAGTTTGTGAGAGCGACTGTGGGAGGAGAACGATGTCGCTGGAGCGTGAACCTTCAGACCACAGGATGAGGAAGATCCAGAGTTCTGATTCTGGTTCTGGTGGTCCACCATCCTGCATGTTTTGTTTGTTTTTCTGCTCCAAAACACCTGAATCAGAAACTGAATCACCTCTTCAGGTTCTGCAGAAACCTGATTGTTCATTGAATCAGGTGTGTTGGAGCAGAGGAACCTCCCACACATGCAGGATGGTGGACCACCAAGACCAGTTACAGGATTAGGACCAGGACCAGGACTAAAAAAACTAGCATTCATTTAGTTTTATTAAGAACAATCCTGTGTTTTCTAGTATATTTTGTTTAAAAAACCGACAAAAGAACACAAAAACAAACCCAGACCATTAAAATTACAAACTAAATTTACATTTAAAACATTACATTACGTAACATTTTATGACTGATTTAAAAGGTATGTTATGGTTCATTTATGAGACACAGATTAACTGGATTCTGTGACGTACAAAATCGGCTTCACAGATGATTAACAATTGATTTATTTGAAAATGTGATAGCTACGAATAAAAAAAGCTTTATAAAAATCAGCACAAATAGTTTATCAATGATTTTACAGGAACGTACATCAAAATGTAAATGTTTTATAAAAAACGATTTGAGTACAAACTGAAGTTTATCCTGTTGACACAGTGGCGGATCGAGGATTTCTCTGAGTGAGGGGCACTGAAGGGGGCCATGATTTTCATTAGGGGCCAAGTGTTTAACATTGTCGCACACAAATCCCTGGTTTTCATTTAACCAGCCACACGTTTAAACACTTAATGTGATGTAATTTATAAAAGCTCGCACAGCAAACTCTCCTTATCAATTCTACATGCATTTTTACTGCACATAGATAAAATAATTTATATAATACTCATACTATAATACTTTACAGCATGTGTTACAGCTACTTTTAGAGGTTCTACAACCTGAGAGAGAAAAGTATCATTAGCTGAACTTAACCTCTGCTCTCCATCGTGGTCCGTCCTGCAGGAACAAACAAACAGTCATCGAACAGATATCTATTCTACAGTAAAGGTAAACATGGAGATAATGTAGCACTTTATCAGTTTATTAGAACTTGAACATGAATCAATTAAAAGACGGATTAAAATAAGAGTCATAATATTAGTTGGATTGACTAAAATACCTTATTAAGCCAAGTTTTTTTTTCCTAACAGTTTTTCCTCTGGTTTTTGTAGAATTGTGAACAAAGGCTGTACTGCCACCTGGTGGCAAAAGAGTGTAACTACGATTAATTTATTTTATTATAAAATGATAGTTATTTTTGTTCTTCGTGGAGGCTGTTGAACTCAAATCAACGAGGATAAAACATAATGTTTAAAATTAATCCTGAATGAATAAATCAGAAACATACTGAGGAGCTTTTCTTTGTTTTCCCACCTAACTACTTCTGCACATTTTAGCTGCTCATGAATCAAAACATTTAGCTCGTTAGGAAGATGGGTGATGAGAGTTTGACCTTTTGTAAGTTGTTACTGTATTTCAGAATTCTTTATTTATTTTAAATAATAAATAAGTTTTAGGTTTTAATAAGATTTTTTAGCTACATTTTTATAAATTTGAGCTATCATGTTTAGCTCTGAAATATACTTTTTTATTTTAGCTTTCAGCCATCCTTTTGCTACTTTTAGCTATTCTTTTGCTACTGTAGCTTTGATCCATCCTTTTACTACTTTAGCTCTGAGCTACCCTTTTGATATTTTTAGCTGGCGTTTAGTTGCTTTCAGTTAGTTTTTCTACCTTTAGCTTCTAGCTATTATTTTTGCCTCTTTTAGCTAGTCTTCTGCTACATTTAGCTTTTAAATTAGGTGAACACAACTAGAAACTAACTTAACTAGCTTTTGCTACTTCCAGCTCCTAGCTAACCTTTTGCTATTTTTAGATTTTCTTTTTATTTATTTATTTATTTATTTATTTATTTGCTACTTTTTACCATTTTTATACCTTTGGGCTATCCTTGTGCAACCTTAGCTCTGAAATATCCTTTTGCATCTTTTGCTTTCAGCTAGCCTTTTGCTACTTTTAGCTACTCTTTTTACACTGTAGCTTTGAGCTACATGTTTGCTACTTTTATTTTTTAAGGTTGCCTTCTGGCTACTTTTAACTTTTTGTTTCATTTTTTTTCTTGCTTTGATCCATCCAGCTTTGAACGACCCTTTTGATACTTTTAGCTATAGCCTTCTGCTACATTTAGCTTTTAACTGAGGTGAACACAACTAGCAACTAACTTAAATACCATTTTGCTACTTTAGCTTTGAACTATATGTTTGATACTTTCTACTGGCCTTTATTTATAAATTTTTGCTTTCAGTTAGTTTATATTTTGCTATTTTTAGCTAGCCTTCTGCTACATTTAGCTTTTAACTGAGGTGAATATTGCAACCAACTTAGCCTTTTGCTACTTAGGTTTTGGCTCATTTTGCTTCTTTTAGCTTTAACAACTTGATTTTAGCTCCTTCAGTAAAGTTCGGCTGTTTGTTTTGCTTCTTACTGCTCTGCAGATGGTCGGCCAACTTCTCCTGGCTCATCTTCCTCAGGAAGGAGACGGTGATCTTCATCAGTGAGTCTCTGCTCTGCCCTTCATCCTCAGCGTCCTCCTCTTCTTCCTCTCTCTGACTTCCTGAACATCCTGAGTCTTTTGGACTTAAATCCTTCTGGATCTTCTTTAGCTCATTTTTTCACAAAACTGATGATGTTTTCCTCCAGCAGCTGGGACAGAAGAAACTTTAGCTTTTATTTGGATACAAATGAAACTTCTACCGTTTTAACATTTTAAACATTGTGAAATTATTCTTGACTGAACTCCATTAGAGTTCATGACACCTGGAAAATGGAGTCCAGAACCTGTTAGACCTGCTGTTAGACCATCACTTGGTAAGATTCTTGAAATACTTGTTTTGACTCTTTTTTTTCTAGTTTCAAGAATCTTTCCAAGTAAAATTTTCTTACTGCATTGGCAGAAAATTTTGACTTAATTTGAGTCAAATTTTCAGATTAACAAGACAAATAATCTTACACATTCTGAAAACAAGATTATTATTCTTACACAATCAGTTCTTGTTTAGTAAATCAGTCTGAAAACAAGATCAAACAGACTTTTTGGCTGATTTAAGGTTTTAAAACTTGGTTGGACAGTTTTTGCGGTGCAGAGGGGGACTCTGGATCAGGACTTTTGCACAGAATCATGTGTTTCAGCAGGAATCTGATTATTGGCTTCATGCTGAAAAAGAATCACTATAATTTTACAAAAATAAAATAATTTTAATGAAAAGAAAACATTTTTATTTAAATGAAATCTGAAATCAGAACAGGTTTCTGTTTATTGAGCTGATGCTAATGTTAGCATTTAGCTGCTGTTTTGCTCATTTAAGTTCTGGCTGGTCTCCCTTATGTCGGCTTCTGGCTTTGCGGGTCGGGTCTGTGGTCCTCCACCGTCACTTTGAAACATTCCATTGGAGAGATCTTGTTTATACATGCATGCTCACAACCGCACATATAACCACATATACTGTATACTGTATATACAGTATATGTG